GATGTCTGTTTACGAACTCAACTACCTGGCCTTCATAAAATTTTGGATGCTCCGCACGAAGTAACGTCATCGTTTTTGTCTAAATTTCAGCTTGAAAATTGTGTGCTTCAAGTCTACAGGTTTGGGGCGGAACAAAACTACTTTGGCACTTATTTAGATATGGATTCAACCCTCCAAGAGCAGTGGGATGACGTAAAAGGGCTTTCGGATGAGTAAGTAACTGATGTGTAACAAGGTTATTACTTATTTAAATCAGTTTGGACACGTCGTATAGAATGGTTCTAGACAAGTTGGTGGTTGGTTTTGCTAAAAATCAACGTATAGGTTTTACCTTAGATTATTTTCTTTGAAAAATACTGAATACATGATGTGCCAACTCTTGCTTAAGGTGATTTCCTGTTTGTATCTTTTTGATTGCAAATTTCTTTCATCTGTGAAAGCGATCCAGTCTGTTCTTTTGTATTACTTTACTGTGTCCTGCTACCACGCACCGGGTTCCTTGAGTCACGAGCATGTGCTGAGTTGGAGTCATTTTTCCTCTAGAGTAGTGTATTGCTTAACATAGCAACAAAATTAATAAAAAACAAAACACTTATGTTATTTAACTGAATTTTCACTCCTTTACCATCAAATCTGCATTTCGTAACACGACTGCTGAAGTCCTTCTGGATTTTTAAAATAAATTGAACTACAATTCTCATAACTCACAAACCAGCTTAAAAGTGCTAAATAAACCAGCAATCAGTTACTCAACCAGCTAGTGCTTTTGCAAACTTTTTGAAGACATCAGCTAGATTAATTAGTGCTTTGCTAAATTGCACTGAACAAATATCCTCATATTTTTAGCAAATTACTGCAGGCAACTGCACTCTTACGTTTCAAAATAGGTCACAGTGAAAGATCAAGGTAATCGCACCACTAAAATCCAAATTATTTCGGCACTTGTTTGGTTACACTTGTCGAAATTACTCAGGCCAATTATATTTGACTGTTGGGCGTCTCGATATTACCTCAAAAATCGTTTGGTCACCATTTGAGGTTTTTGCTTGGCGAATTTCCTTATTTTTTTTCTTTGACGTCAAGTAGACACATAAAAGCATAATCCAAATTGCACTATTCAAATGCATTACAAAGCTAAACTGTGCTGTCTTATGTAATAGGGAGGTAAATTAAATGAAGCTTAGAAATCAACATTTAATGCGTTTATATTTGGCTGGAAATCATATTCAGTTGGTTAAAATTTTACTTTGAGATTGCGCCTTCAATCCAAATTTTTTACTCATACTAGTGATTCAATAGCCATCGTTCTGCGAACTAAATCTGTCGTTCGAGTTCAAGCAATTATCAGTAAGTCATTCACTTTACAAATTTTCTCATACATTATTAATCTGGCCAAAATCGAAAACCTACTTAAAAGGATTTTTACATGCTTGTTTTAATTAAATTATTTTGATATCAGCAGTGATTCCTTATAAAAAATTTCAAACGTTTGTATTAATGCTCACTTAAGCTGTAAATAGGCAGACGCGAAAAAAATTGGTTTTACACAACAATAAAGTGATCTAATATATCGAATTTAGAGGCAAAATGTTTTAAATGTGGCAGAACCAATCCAACTAATAGCAGCTAACATTTGTGTGATATGTCGTGATTTCAGACAAAGTTATCAACCAAGTCTCTAGTAAATGGAGACTTTGTCTGGTCCTATGTATATTTAGTCATATTATACTGAACTGGAAATGTTAAGGATTGGAGGTACAATTGCATTTTCTGTAACATGCCCTACTAAAAGCAGCCACTAAATCCCAACCAAAACTATTGGAAATCCTGCCTTTTTTATACAGCATTATCTGCAATCTTGTTGTTAGCTTATATTACCTTGGTGATCAAAACATTGCATGTGGAAAATGAAATCCATAACTAGTTGAACTTATGCGTTTCGTGTGGGATTGTGCACACGCAATTCATACGCCTCAACAACTACTTCTACGACTTATCAGTCGCTACTCAGTACGCATATAAGCCTTTTGCAGAATTTTTGTCAAAATAGATTCACTTTTAACTAAACTTGAGAATGCACAACGATTATCTCACGATAGGACTTTGCTAGTTTTTGGTATACAATTTTATTATTTGTAATTAGTAAAACAAAACAAATTCAATAGATGTGAGGCGAGGAACAAATCGCTCATGGCCCACTTTAAACCTTATCACAGTTTTATGCCAAAACATACAACTCACGTTAACTTTTAGCATGAAAAGCCATGCACTAAATATTTTCTTGCACAATCCAATTAAAGTAACATCTAAAATTGCAGTATGTATTTTCGTACTTTTTTCCTGCACTGCTTGCTTACTCTATGTAAACTGTCTCTGAAGGTCATTTTTAATCTGCGCCTCCTTCGGTGACGTTGTATTTAACTGAGTCACACTAGTTGCGTTGAATCAATGTAAACTGCGCAGGAGTTTGAACTTACTCAAGAACACATGCGCACTTGCGTTCGTGAGCCAGCCTTCTAGGTGTGACGTCGCGTAAAAAGGATAATTCCCTTTAAAGATATGTAGCTGGGTTATGGAGGCACATTGTTCGGATTTTTGGCACGATACATTTCTTTAATGCCGTGCATGCACTTAATTTTTATTCTTTTCATTAATTCGTTGAGCAAAGTAAATAAAGGCCCTTAACTATGCATCGAAATTACCAGCAATCTTTCAATGGGCTTCTGAGTTTATCGTGAAATCTAGCATCATGGGAGTTAGTAGACCAAAATTTTTAAGATTGTGTACTTTTAACGAACGGCCATACGCAATAGTTTTCAGTCATCCATAGACAAGTCTCAAATTCTGTGCGTATTTTAATGCTATTAGTACTTATTTGGCAACTCAAAAAAGATTGGTAATTGTTCGGGCGTTGTGTTAAGATTTTTGTTTGAAACTCAATTCACAGTGGCTTTTATTCTCATCAAGGCATTCCTCTCCCAGAACTTTCACAGCGTTCGTTCCAGTCCTAGTCACTTCAAATATTAACAGCCTCATTGTTGTTCATTGATTTTGAGCAAGCTATTACTTTTCCGCCTTTGAGTACATTAAAGGGTCTAGTTTTTGGCGGAAAGTCTGTGCACTAAAAAGAAGAATTTTTTATAATTGAAGTTTATTTCTTTCAACCAAGGCTGCAATTTGCTGCTGAAGTTGTTAAAATGAGCTAGATTGTTTGCAAGGCTTTTTATTTCGTAAACGGAGGACGATTGGACACTTTGAGACTGGTTTTAATTTTGAAAACCTCAGGGAAGCATTGTAGGACACTTGTGCCAGAGGCCTACTTTAAGCCAAGTTATTAGAATTCGCTTTTTCTGCTCTCTAAGCGGTTTCATGTGTATTTCTGGTTAGAAAAGCCCTCACGTAAGAATCGAAGACATGCTCCATTTGTACAATGAGTTATGTTACCAGTATGCGTATGCCTAAAATTCCCCTTTAAATCTGATAAAGTATTTTCTAGACGAGATCTATATTGGTGGCCAGACAATAGTGGAAACTTTGTGCTACTTCATGCTGGGCATTCAATAATGTGAACCGGGTTTTATGTGTTTTCAACTTCCAAATTGCAGAGTTGCTATTTCAAATTTTCTTTATTGTAATGGGCAAGATTCCGTCTGGAATTAAGGAATGTCTGTATGCCACAATTGATACGTATTGGAAGTTGTCACAAGTAATTTACAGCACTATACACCCGTGCAACCACACATAGCGTAGCTCTTAACAGAGCCAGAGCTTCCGGTTTGAAATTGAGTGAATCACGCATACAAACTACGCTAAACAAGCAAAGTTCACACGCACATACAATGATGAAAGGTTCGCTTGGTATAGAGCTGTTACCTCTGCTACCTGGACTTATAATGGAGTGTTTGTACTAAGTCGCGTCGATAAATAAGTCAAAACGTCATGTAAATGTTTTCAACTCAAGATAGGTCTTGAAAGCCTCATCTAGTCTCATGCACAGTTGAATACCACACTACATCTGTTTAATGCAATAAATTTTTGACTCCAAATCCTGGCGTTAATAGGCAGAATTACAGGGGATATTTTTTGTCACCGCTTCAATGGTTCCAAGTCAAGCACGTTTTACTGAATTATTACAGAGAACCCATTTATTCAGTGAAACTTTCAGTTCGAGAAATTGCCAAAGCTCGGAAGATTTTGAATGCAGAGCAAAAATTTTAGAAACTCAACTGCATTCTGTACTGTTCTAAAATTTTTGGAAGAATCCAGTTTCTATTTGAAATAATAAACCCAAATTACCTGCTGGGGTGCAGTGAGTGAAACAACTGAAGTTTCGCTTGTGACAAATTATTTTTAAACCGAAACGCCGTTCATGCAACAGAAACTTCAATAGCGATTGGTAAAAGTTTTTTTTTCAAAAATAAATTTTAATTTGGGAGACTTGCTAGTTTTAATAAGCCTCAGAAATTAATGCATCGTGCACAATAAATCCCCACACAACTGAAGAAAACGCATTTTTACAATCAAGTAAAAGGCTTTTGCTTATTTTCGCAGACCGACTTTATTCTGCAAAGGGACAAGAGCTCCGGAGGGCCCTCTTCTCTTTAAAGCAGATTTTTATGGTATGTTTCTACTTTGATTGGTAACTTGGGGATGTCCAAAAACATATTGATTAGTCCGAAATCTTGCGTTGCGCGTGATTATTTCGTAGAATGGGTACAAACTATTACAAGAGACCTTTTAATCCAAGTGAATAAAAACTCATTCAGAGATTTATTCCTCACAGATGTAACTGTGGCAAATTTTTTTGATCATCGCACAAGTAACAAAGCTGAACTGGTTCGGTCTTTTAGATCACCAGAAAGTATGTTTCAACGGTATCCACATTTAGAAAGTTAAACTAAATTTGGCATGAAAATCTACAACTGCTCCTAGTTTCACAAAAATATTGATAGGCTACAATGGTCAATTCATCACTTTGACCAATTCTTTCATTATTTTAGAACGATAAGGACCTGGTGCACGACTTTGTGACCCACTCCGGACTGACGTGCCTGGTTACGGTTGGTTCACAATCTGAACACACTCACCAAAACTATATCCTTCGAGGTGAGCAAATTGGAAAATTGGAAAAGATGTGGCCTCATGGTTTAATGTGACAAAGGACATTAGTGCTGCATTAGTCTACACAAGTCAGTAGAACTGATCTTTTAGGCACATCGATGGCCAACAGTGTTTGATGTTTAACATTTTTTACGGTGTAATTCCCAGAAAACGAAATCCTGATGAGTTAATACAAGCACACGCCACCCGCCAATAAGTTACTAAGTCCGTGAGATAGGGCTTCAGTTCCAGCAGCATCGAAGCTAGAAGCAAAAGCACTCCATGGCTTCTGTGTATGAAGCTGGCAGGAAACTCTCCAAGTTTCTATATCTCCCTCAATTTGAAATGACACCGCTGTATCGGTAAAAAACTCAGCTCTTTGTTTCATTCTCGGGTAATGTTTGAAAACTTTACTAGGGTGCCACTTCATGATGAATTCGGATTTTTCTGACTGCCAGATAGCAGAATAAATCCCGTTTTTCAAACTTGCTATTAAGACAGGTGTTTTGATTTTATCAAGCTGACAGTGAATTTCAAGTCACGTATCTGATGAATGGCTCTTACCTCGATACAAATAACGTGTTAGACGCTGACTAGGAGCTTGCGCAGTATAAAAATCAGACAGATGACCTTTAATTCAAAGGTGGCAGACCACTGCTTACAGTTGACGTCCTGGACATAACACAACTAAGACTTACCGCGAGTGTATCACAGTCTACAAAGTAGGACTGGATTACGCCTGCAAAATCCACCCTTACCCTTGGAGATTGAAAAACTTTTTCTCCAGATGAACCTGTCACAAATGAATGATCGAGGTGCTCAAGTAGCTGAAAGCTTTAGCATACACTTAGAATGTTTGACTTCTCGCACCGTCTTCGTTTGACTTAATAACCGATGCCTTTGTCCCTCCCCATTTCAGCCCTCGGTCAGCTGATACTTTACGTTGATGGAATGGCCGGGGTGAGCGAACATCCCGAAACCATAAGGTGGCTCTATTCCCTCCTAACCTGCAAAGTAAGTTATTAGCTGTAGTGGCTTGTGATGAATTTTCTACTGAAGACGTGAAATAGGTTTATTTTCGACGGCAATTACTCAGCAGCTTTTACCCTTCAGCCACTTTACAGCAGTGGTTTAAACGCCTACGATGACTACATGGTGAGCGGAAAACGCGTGTTGCCTGTGAGCGTTCGCTCAAAGCCAAAAGACCTTGAAAGTTATTTTTGAAATTTCCAATTTTTTGTCGTTGCCTAATTTGAAATGTTCAGAAAGCATCCCCATTGGAGATGCAGGAGTTTCACATGAAAGTTACGATTTCAAAGGCTTCCTCCGTTTTGTTTTATTTTAGTTCTCCCTTGTAAAGAAAACTGCCCTTCACCTCCTCTCCGTGTTCGTTGGTTACGCTGATACGAACGCCAATATCTTTGTAGAGACCGTTGATGATTTTCATAAGTCGTCGAGTAAGTTTGGTTCCTCTATTTGAAAACACTGAAAAACGTTCTGTACCAAATTTGTGCACAACACAATAACTAAGCATGCGCAAAGCTAAAAATACAGAAAGTTGCCACCTAATTTAACGTGTGATCTTATGCATTACCACTTGAAGTGGCACCAAACCAACAATACTATATTGATTTCATTTCAATTTAGAGGTAAACGGTAAACCGTGGTCCTACATCATCGAACTGCTCAGGAATGAATCTGGTGACGTAGAGTTTTGCCGGCACACGATGTTGCTCATAAACAAAGTGCTGGCTGCGGTACCAGACCAAGAAACCTTCTACGACATCACAGACAATCTAGAGGATCAAGGAATGAAGGAAATTGCGGACAATTACCTCAAGCAACCAGACGCTGATCCTATACTAGTTGAACAATTACTGATTTACGAGGTATACCTTTCTTGGGACACAAATTGACCGCTTCACTAGCTGATAGTTAAATTACAAGCTAGCTCTTTTAATGTAAGATGTGTAGTTAGTTTAAGTATTTGTTAAAATTTGTGGAAGACTCGATCAAATTTGAAGTAATGAAACTTCAAAAACATTCAACTTCAAGGTTATTCACTTTTGCTATCTTTGTAGAAATAGTCCGTTTTTTTAAATCTAGGCTGGCCTTGTTTATTTTGGTAACCTTAGTATTTTTAAACGAAACGCAGACACAAATAGGCTTAGATTTGGGGCAGCAAGATTTCTGACTTGAACCTAGTGTGGCGGATAATCTATACAAATGGGTGCCTGCAATAATCCCATGCCAATCAAGGCCTTCCGCCATGACCATGGGGCACGATTTCGATCCATCGAAGTAAGCATACAAAGCAGTAGTCTTCGCAGCGTCGTCTCTTAATTTAAACAACATTAACGCTGTCATACAAAGGATTTACTTTTTTGTTAATAACACATGAAATTATAACGTTTATAATTTATTGGGCTATTCACGACTAAACATCCATCAATACTACTTAATTAGAAAAAAGACAAATATTGTGGTCACTCACTTTTGCTTGCAGGGCTTCTCATTTCCATGGCTGCTGCATTTTAGATCGTTTTTCCTCCTTAGGATTAAAGTGAACTTGGTTAGGTCGACATATTTATTCGAAGTAGTTAGCACCAGATGCAGTGAGTATCCACACACGAACCTTCCTTTTGTCGAAAAAAACTTCCTAATTGACAAGTTTGAGGATTTGAAGGCAATATTGTCCGGCATTGTGGTGCCTACCGTGGGATTGCCCCCCCTTTTTCCGCTCCAGTCGTTCTATTTTGTGGACGATAATATGCCCTTGCGCAATTTAATTCAATCAAATTCTGATTAAGTAATGCTGTAGTTAGCTTGACATCGGCAAGGGCACTTCATGCAGGCTTTTGGAAGCATGTTTTAAAGCACTATGTACCCTAGAATGCAATAAGGAGAATCATTGGCATCTAAATTTAAACAATTGAAAATTCAAAATTCTGGGCTGATATAAACCCACCGAATCGTAAGGTGTGTCTAGGCGAATTATTTATGCACGTGAGCAGATTAGCAGACCGCATCAACCCGATTGTCCCAGACCATACTCAAACCAATGACAATTTACTGTGAGTCGCATGGCTGACAATTGTCACTTAGGCGCAGAACCTCGCGCCTTTCCTTGCATGCTTGAACAGGCATTTGTGTTTACAGTCACGAGGGAAGAATCGACTTCAGCTTACGGGTAATCAAATTACCACCCTGAGAAAGCACCAAGGCAGCATAGTTTTGTCAGAAGACGGTAGACTGTTTGGAGTACAAGAATTCACAATACATGTTCTTAAGATTAATCAAGGCTGTTCTCTTAAAACTGACTTCATACTTAAACAGCAGAGCACACACAAGGTTTAGCTTCAAGCAATCAAAGTCTAGATTTTCTAATTAGTTGTGTTAAATATGCCCTCTGAAAAAAAGATTAATTTATGTCACTTTTGAGAAAGCAAACGCTACGTTTACAAATACATTTATTAATCCATGGTCAAATAATTGCATAAAAGTCGAAACAAACTCACTGTGGCTTTTATAGGCGTGTTGTCATTTTTTTAAAGCGTCACCCCTAAAATGGAAAGCTATGAAACTGAAATATTAAAAAAAATCAGTATTAACGATTAAAAGATAATACTGTGTGTCGTCGCAGACGTGATTATTGAGATCTGATTTACCTTGACTTGATGTCTTAAACCTCACTTAACTGCTCTTATTTCTTAAGACTACGCAGTTCTGATGCACTGAGCAAATTCGACACAAATACGTGCAAGGTCTTATTTCGTGTCAAAAAGTTTGGGATATTAATGTTCGTTCTTTAAATTCTATCAATGCATCTATCATTAGTTATGCACCGGGGAAACCCGTGAAACGACTATGGATATTATGGTCTGTTGTTTAATTCTTCTACTTCAGGCAAGCCTAATCTTTGAAGACGGTGGTTCAACAGACAAAATTAACTTGGAAGAAAAGTCATTGGGCGGTCTTAGAAGGACTCCCAGACCACGAAGAGCAGAGTTAGTCGGAGCGCCAACTGATGCACAAACTTCTGAGACGCCAGGAAAGCGACGTTCTAAGCGATTTTGCTCTAATGATGGGGCAATATCGAAGTAGGTCAAATGCGTTGTCTATCGACTTGCAAACTAGTGGAAGCATCGGCTATTGCTTTGCCCCTTGCTGAACCATCTCTAGCTTCACTATTTGAGTTAACGTTAATTTCATTGAAAATGAAAGTTATAAATCTTCTTGAGTAAAAGACAACTGTAAGATGCTGCAGAAATTTTTCGGTTAAATTAATTAAATTCGAGTAACCCCATTGCAGAGGATTCCTATTGACAATGTTTGTCCTTTGGAGGCAAGTAATTGAGTTATTTTTCAAGATGCATTAGCCTCTGTATGGGATGAGAACTTCAAATTTCCTTTTTGTGAAATCAAAAATTTGTCATCTCATCTCGCAAATTCTGGTTGGCACCTCCGTTTCACATGAATACTTTATTCTGCAGAATCACTTGCAGGATCTTACTGCTTCAGTCTTGCCATACAGGGTCTGATGGTTTCCTGTGTTTTTCCTTGTTACTGCGCGGGTTAATTAGCGTGCAACTTCTTGTCAAGTCTTTGTGCTTGTCTGCTTGAATAAATTTGATCCTCCGAAAACCCGCTTTGTCGTTTAGCGTGCCATCAAGACAGGAAAACCACCTGACTTGTATTGTTATGTCATGTCGATAGTTAGCGATGTTGAACTCATTTATCTACGTTGTCTTAAGCAATATTTGGACCATTTTTCGTCAGTGTAGCAGCCAAGTCTTGCCAAAGTAAATCTGCGTAGATCACATATCTTTATTCCAAGTTAGTTGCCATTATCCACTTTTCCTTTCATATAGCAAGACGTAATAAAAAAATAAAGGAAGTAGAAAATGCTTTAGCATAATTTTGTTATGACGTATCCGATTTTACCTCCAGCTTAACAGCCAATGTCTTAGTATGCTCTTCAAAAAGCTCTTACTGAATTAGGATTCTTAAATATGCCGATCCAATGCATATTTTGCATCTCTTTCATTGACAAAATGTCTGCATATTAGTGTACGTTAAAGTAGCTACTAGAAGTAACCATTTGCAGTTGCTTAAATGTTCCTTATTGGGCTTGAAATCCTCTTTATCTTAGTCCATATTTCCATTAATTGCATTTTTCGTGATCGAGTCTGTCGATCAAGGTCATCCATGTTATTTCTTGTTCACACCATGGGGAGCTGCTTACCACTTCTATGGCCGTCTGGCATTTATCCTAGCCGCGTACCTTCTTTCGCATCTCAGTTTGCAAGCAGCACCAGTTTAAATGGATCACTTGAATAGCTTACTTGAGTTTCCTATCGCTAATCTACTCTGTTTTTACCGGCACTCACGCTTAGCCTTACCTTCAATTCTTCATTTCACACGCACTCACCAATTCACACGAAGTCTAAGGGACGGACTTGGTCAATTATGCACCCTAGCAGTTACCGATTCTGAGGTCAAAGGCTTGATGTTTTAGCTCTTTCGTCCGTCAATGTACAGCTTTAGCAGTTGAAACCACAGGATATATCAAGTCATCAAAAACTCGAGATAATTAATCCTGTCATTCACTTGACTTAAAGAATAATGACCTCCCGTCACCTCTCTGAGATGACCCAAACCCAAATGCTGTTTAACTAGCTCCTTTAATGTAAACATTGTCCACTCCACAATGGCTTATTGGTCATGACCTCTTGTTACTGGTGCTAGGTGCCTTCACTCTCACTTTTATTATTTCTATTTGGGGGCTGGAAATACTTCACAAATGACACAGGATATGGCACATCGTGGCCCTCACCTCTCCAACACGTAGCTTTCCAGATACGTTAAACTGCTCTTTTTGAAAAGTCATTTACATTTGTGGATAAAATGACTTGTAAATTTGCGGTTTATCTTCACCTACACAGTAATAATAATTAGAATGAATTGAGGTTCCGTGTTCAATTTTTAGTTGCTAAAATTCGCTTCATGTATTAAATCATTGGCAAATATCCACACTCTGTAAGACAAGCCCCAATTAATGTAGTCTAACTTGCTGGAATTAAATTAGTCTTGGGTTGACTCTATACTTTTTAAAGTATTTCATGCAGGTCATAATTAAAACATTAGAAGTATGCCTTACGGCATCAGTGGAATAGAAAATAAAATATCGACACGACAAATAAGGCATATATTAATGCTGGTTTCATCCAACAAAATTACGCTCTGGTCTTTGCCATCGTAGCCTGGACGAGCGAAAACTTCATGCCCGTAGAATCACCGATGGACTTCTTGTGGACTCTCGACGACACACAGCAGGTATGCTCTCAACTAAAAATGTTTACCGAAATTCAAGAAGTTATCAACTATCGATCTGATCGTGAATTGCTTGGCAGACCACATTTTGTGACTCAGGTGATTCTATTTAAGGACTATCAGAAAGCCTCTGAATTATTTTCTGCTGGTGTGCACCGTGTGAAGCCAAGGCGGACTCGCTTGTCACAATCCCATTAACTTTGATGTATTTTTAAGTGAAAGCGCGTAAGGAACTTTAGTTGTATTAAGCATTGTTGTATTGTATTAAGTTGTGAAATTTATTTTCCCTGTGTTTATGAAACATTTAACTGACTTTAATAAAAAGGCGTTTTATTAAAATCTGAATAAAAATCACACTCGTAAAATAATTTTTCGCCGATTTATATGCGATTTAATCCGGAAGTGAGAGAGCTCTGTCCTTTAGGATTCATATATTGTCCTCAAAATCGTCTTTTTAACTCCCAGTTCAACAAGTAAGGCAAGTTTGCCTCAAGAATTTTATCCAACCCTTTTATGTAGTCTTTGATCTTGTTCTAAGTCAAAAGTCAATTCACTGTAACATTTTAAGATTAATTTAGGATTTGAGGGGAAAAAATCATGCAGTGAAATGTCATATGGAAAGTGCGTGACGTGAGGATTGTTAGATCCCCTTACCCTCTATATAATTTCTCTATGACTTGTTAGCCAATCACACTAACAATTGTTTTTTCTTTTTCATTTTCCCACACTCACCGTTATTTTAACCAACTCGGAAACCTTTCTTTGCTCACTAATTGTTGTGTTTGTGTGCGTCTCATTTTTACACGAAATCACGCTTTCATTTACACATCGTTTTATTGCAAATCCAATCAAATGCTTATTTTTCGGACTTGCGTGTTTTTTGTGCCTACATGCGTACTCTTGTGATTCCAACTTCTGTCCCGCTTTAGAGCTCCAGCGGAAGACGGTTAGGGACTTGTACGAGAACCTAGTTGTGAATGAGAGCCCTGTAGATGAAGAAGGGAGTGAAGAGGACATGACGGTTGTGCAAAAGTGTGTAGAGAAAGAGACCGAGCCTAGCAGTGACATTGATGAAAATTCAGATGAACACTATGTCACCATTTATACAAGCAAAAGTACAAATGGTAAGAACGGGAAGAATTAGCCTTCCTTTGTACAGTCTTACTGGGGATGCTAAACCTCACATGTAATAAAAAACAAGATATCTCATTGTCAAGTCCTGTTCATTGTGATCCAGCTTATGCAGACCACAAGGACTGATTTAGAATGAGTTCATAAACAACAAAAGCTGTGTGTTTCAAGCTAAAATTCTGGATGAAGTTAATTATGAACGTGCGATGCTAGTCGCACAGCAAACACAACTGAGATCCAGTGGTTAAAAGCTATTTGTGGTACACTTTCGTTGAATACAGTTACTCAAGGACAAATAAAACACCGCAGTAGGAACTGAAAATAAAGTTTTGAGTCGTTTAATTGCTGATGAAATGTTCCACTCTATGCTAATGTGCACGTTTGCCGGAAATCCATTCACGACAACTTGTTCTATGCATTCTAATCCATCCTCGTGCACATAAAGATATTTTTTGTCTCCCAATATCCATGGTGAACTAACACATTTTCAACAAGATTGATAATTTCCTGAATTCGTTTGAAAACCATTTAATTGTATCTTTCTGGTTTGCATTCGCTTAACAGAATTGTCCACTCATAAATATCCTTAATCGGCACCTAACGCTTGGTTTATTTCACACAGGGAAGCACAATTCGGGTGGGAATCATGAAGCCACAGATAAGTCTCATCTAGACGACATAGACCATCCTCAAATTAAGCCACGTGGTCTGGTACCTCATGCTTTACAGTTCTCTTCTCGGCTTACTGACCTTGTTCACAAATACGGTGCGTCCGCAGCAGCTGCGGCAGAGCTCACAACGGAAACTGAGCCCAGACTTTAATTTGCTTTAGCATTTGCAAAACATGATGCCTTGATTATTTTACACTGCAATGCTTTAAAAGTAACGCTGCTTGCTATACATCTTTTACAAAGGAAACATTTTGCATTTCTATTTAAATTTCCGACAATTATTAGTACATGCGATGAATTGCACCCAAATTACAAATGAAAGTATAAGCCTTTAGCTGACTTTCAAGGTCCTTTTTAGACGTGACCTGCTTTTCGACCATGATTCCAGCTATAAATGCAGATTTTAGTTATGGAAATCCTCCAACGAGAGACTTGAAGGGTCCCGTAAATGTGTATTATTCAAGCGCCTTAACCCACATTAACCCGGGCCTTGTTGATTCTATTAATAACGCAAAAACTGCATCGTTTAGCTTAATTATTATTGCGCACTTTTTGTGGCAGTTGTAAGCTCCGAACAGGAAACCGATAATTTGAGAGGTAACTTATCAAGAAAGTCTCCCAAAACCATTGACACAGCTGCACCTATTCCACTCGATCTGCACTTTTGCTGTCCTTCAAAAAGACAAAAAAACCCGCTTATTTAGACCGCGGTGTTTATTTTGTAATTGCAAAACATTTGAGCACAAGTCCTCGTTATCCACTTTACTAACCTCATTTAATGCTTTAATTTTCTTTATATGAAATAATCTATCTGCTTATATGACTATGGTTTCTATAGAAGCGGAGAACTTGGAGAATAATGGCACGTCGGACAACGCCAAGGCTTTAAGGGATCAGCATAAAGATTCTGCAATAAATGCAAGTATATTTGTCCCATATTTGCATCTTTTCTAGCAAATTTCCAATTTTATCTGCGGTGGTACTATCGACTGCAGTGCTTGAATGCATGCACTATTGTCTATGTGTAGAATATTACTATTAGCTCACAGTGACGCAAAATGTATGAATGAAATTCTATTACGTCATTTTCGGTTTCATGTCAAATAACCTCATGGATTGTCGATTCTTCCTGTTAGTGCTCGTGAACAAAGCGCTACTCACCTAGGTTATTGCTTCTGTCAAGTCACAGATATTAATGAAATCACTGGACCAAAATGAACAATTTCAGCTCATTTTATAGAGAGCAAAACGTATTCCCTTAGATTTAATTTGATGGAAACAATGAGCTTTGGTGACGACATCCGTAAGTAAAACTAGCCTGATTTCGTTAGTTGCATCATTTTTTCTATTGGATGATTTCAAAGGTTGGTGTCAGACTTTCATGGACGGCGGGGGGTGGGTTCTTTTTATGCACCCAAAATATCAACTTGTGGTAATCTAAGTAGGTCATGAGTCGGCAGAGCCTTTAAAAATTGTTTCACGTAATCAGTATGAAGAGTTGGTAATATAAATTGAAAATTAAAGTCGTCTTTTCGTTATTTGAATGCATACAAGGGGTGAATGTTAAATCTGCAACAAAAATTTTTAAGACGTTATTTTTGGGTTGCGTTCTTGGTCGTCGAACAGTTAAAAGCAGCCTTGGCCGATTCCAAAGTAGTGACTTCAATCTAAATGACAATTTCCATTCTGCGTGAATTTGTTGTTAGTAAATTTATCCGTGATGCTTTAAATAAATCTTTACGTAAGAGTTTGCTGAGGGAGTAATTGTCGAAAACGCAACTGCATTCTGCTATTTAAAGCAACCTGGATGCACTTTGTAACTCGGTATGAAGGTTCCTCATGTTTCGGCAGAGCGGAACAACTGGACTGTGTTTCTCCAGCTGTTCCTCTCCTCCCTCGCCTACTCTTGGTGGATCAATTTATAATTAAAGATGGAAAATGCTTTATGCAAGGCAGCAGCGTTTTAAGAAAAAAGGCTGGGAGCACAGAAATGAAGGCGAATTGAAGAGCAACTACACAGTTTCCCCAAAAAAGGAATCCAAACAGTTAATGGTCGCTGAGAGATAGTTGTAGTAAATGATAGGGATTGCACTATTACTTAATAAATGTTAGTTCGCATGAAATTAGGTTGAATTTAAAATTAATTTCAGATCAGGCATGAGTTTTTGCAGTCACTTAATGCATAATGTAGTGTGTGCACCAAATGGTCAATCTCTAAAGCCATTCATTACAGTAATGTAGTATAGTAACCAACATCATTCACTTCTTTTGTTCAAGAAATAGTGTTTTCAAATAAAATTGATTTATCACTGTTCTGTTGATATGTGTAAATAATAATACTCACCTATAATCAAGGACGCATTTGTCGTAATTATCATAGAGCCAAACCCTCAATGATTCATCAAAGGAACCACCGGCGAAATCGGGATCGGTGTCAGCAACCAAAGAAAAGTTAGCAGCTTCAATTGGTCGGTTACCCATGGGCCTCCCCTCAACTGCGCCTCCTTCACAAGAAAAGGTTTGTGTTCTCGGTTTATGTGACATTCAATTTCTATAAGCAAATCCTCTGATGCTAAAACCTCTGAATTTTGTTTTAAAAATATTGCTGTTCAATTCCTGTGTATCTAAATATAGGTGGAGTAATATTATTTTTCTTCAGGTAGAGGAGGTGAAGCCAGAACCAGAGAAGTTAAAAGGCGTGGACTACTTTTGGATGGATCATGAGAAAAAAGTTGCATCTCGTACTTTAAAAGTGAAGGATAGGACATTCGATGACCTCGAAAGCTCTGACGATGAGAAGCCTACTGGGGTTCCAAAGATTGCAATAAATGGCAGTATTCCACCACCACCTCCTCCCCCGCCGCCACCACCACCCCCTCCACCCATAGGGGGCACTGGTCGTGGGGCGCCACCACCACCGCCGCCGCCTCCCCCCCCTCCACCTGGTAGGCATGACATGTTTCTCCTAAACGCCAAAGAGCACCCATGTCGGAGCATCCACTGAGAATCACACCACGCAGATCAAATTTTTGCGGTACAAGGGATCCACTTCCTTGTAACTGATGACGATGGGGTTTCATGTGTTCGTTTACAAAGTATTGTAACCTTCAGTATTTTTAAACTCATTTTGACGTTCCGGTTGCAATCCCGAGTTTATACATACGGAAACCGAGAGGTTACCTACGTTGTATGCCTTTAACAAATTCATTCACAATAAGCAGTGCCACCCTAAGACGAGCGAACATCTCACGGTTTGAGTTCGCGATGTCTTTTTATTCAAACTCTGTCTTGGGTACGCGTCAGTGTCTGGTGACAATACAGAGGGTGGAAGTGGGTGAGCAGATTGGAAGATACGATTCTTTTACAAAAACGTTAACTCATAGATTAGCATGCTTTTTATATCATTTCACCCAGGCGGAATACCCCCTCCCCCTCCTCCACCACTTGGAAAGGGTGTCAACAGCAGCCCCCTGGGCAACTTGCCTCCCCCTCCAGGGGCAAGAATACCGAAGCAAGGTCGCACTGTCAGGTTGCATTGGAGTGAATGGATTCCAAAGCCGAAGGATGTTGAAGCCCTCACAAATGCTGCTAAGGCTTCAAATAAGGATAAAGTGGACTTCAGTATTTCGAAGAAAGGTCCCTTAACTGGTGCCGCGAAGGAAGAACTGCAAAAGAAGGCGATTGAGGAGCTAAAGGACTCAACCATCTGGTCCCACGTGGTCCCTGTTAATCTAGACTACAAACGCATTGAAGAACTTTTCGAGAACAAAGTGGCTGAAGTCAAAGTTGTGGTAAGCAAGGCGTAGTGGTCCCTTAGTTTCCTGGGTCATCTCTCCCAGTATTTCTCCTCTGGAGGTATTCCTGTCCCATAAATTAGAATGCGAATCTGTATAATAAATTACGATCCATTTCTACATGGTCCTCCATTAAGACCGCAACCATCTTATATTGGCTAATATCTTACTCGGTTTGTTATTTGCATTATGCTTGAAATATCAATAATTTCAAAAAATTTTCGGCTGCATGAAGACACTTCATGACCCGTTGTTATTACAAATGCAAACATTTTTTAATACTATTACATCAACCTCAGATCTAGCCTTTTGGTTTTTGCAACTGAGTTGTTCGCTGCTTTTTGGTAAGGCTACGGGCAAACGAAGCTTACGCCCTGGGTCAGCATAGTGCTCCAGAGTCTGGTTTTTAAAGTTACTGAATTCGAGGCGGCGGCCTAAGTCGCACTAAGGTGTGTGGTTACGACGTCACTTCAAAAAGACACTTTCTAGTCAACTTTAGGGAAGTTATTTGTTCTATTTACATAGGTTGATGTATTTTGTCTCTCTCCTAACAGCTTCATCTAACGCCAGTTCACCCCATTTTGTTCATTTTTTCTTTCTCCTCTAATTCCCTCTTTCCACTACCTATTCCAGAAACATGACACTGCAACAAAGAAAATTGAAATACTTGACGTGAAGCGTTCCAATGCAATCAACATTGGAATGAAGGTTCTGCCTCCTTTACGGACAATAAGCAGTGCTCTCATTAAAATGGATTCTTCCGTAATTAACAGAGAGGGCATCGAGGTGTGAAGTTTGTTCCTGTTTTCAAATTATTTAAATCACCAAATTAAAATCACTGTATATTATTTTTTTAAAAAATTTAGCAACTCCTGAACACCATGTTACCTACAGATGAAGAGAGGGACAAGATCATGGCAGCCAAGAGGGAACATGGGGACATCCAATTGGGTAAAGCCGAAGAATTCCTTCTCACGCTGTCAGAGGTGTCCCACTTGAAGGCACGACTCGAACTTTGGTTATTCAAACTCGACTATGAGACGATGGAAGCGGACATCATTGATCCGCTGACTGATCTGAAGCAGGTTGGTGCTGTCAAACGAAGTGATGCTGCAATTTCAACACTCAGCTTGTCTAAGAAGTCCATTTCATTTACTCCTAGGCTGTTTTTGATATACAAGAATCTCAGACTCTGCGATGCATCCTCTCTGTTATCTTGGCAATTGGTAACTTTCTTAATTCGAGTGAATCACGGGGCTTCAACCCGGAATACCTCGATCGATTACCAGAAGTGAAGGATACGAAGCACAAACACAGTCTACTTCACCACGTGTGTCAGTGCGTCTTGGAACTCTTCCCTGATAGCACAGGTAATGTGGACGTATTCAGGGCTTCGAGTAGAGACGTTCTAAAGGCAAAAATTTAGATCCTTTTATGGAAGACTCAACTTACTGGATTTCTTTGCTGGTCCCGTGACCTTGTAACCCTTTTTTATTAAACACGCACCTAGCCTCTTATTCCCTATGAAGTCACATAATATACAGGCTTTGATTATTTCTTTGTTAATGTATGTTTCCCTTTTCCCATTTCTTTTAATGGCGCAGCGACTTTTGTGTTACGATTATAGATCATTTAACAAGTTTCTCGCACGACAAGAAAAAATATGCATTTTTAAGGGAAAGGAATTATTGGGTGATGATGATGGCGTCACTGAACTTATAAATAGTAGTTGGGTATTTATTATGGCCAGTCAAAGCTAAAATCAAGCCATAAATGTGTGCTTTCATCGAAATATATATTCTACACACTTGGACACGATTAGCAAGGGTTTTCATTATTGCCGTGTGGTCGACCGAGGCAAACTGAGATGGGCAGCTACTCGTCTGTTTATTACTGTTCCAGTTCCTACTTTCTAGACTTGCACTCTGAAATGGGAGCGGTGTGTCGGTGTCACCGAGTTGACTGGGATGAGCTCGATAAACGACTTGTAAAGGTTGAAAATGACTGCCGCAGAGCATGGGAGCATTACCAGACGATCTACTGCAGCTCTAATCGAAATTTCGTTGTCAACAACAAGTATGCCTTGAGTCATTTCTTGAGTCATTGCCATATTTAGTTATATATTTATCATAACAGTTTTAATATTGCATATTATCTGCAATGTCACATCTTGTATTTACCAAGACACGAAGAGGATTTCATAAAGGGGTATGTCAGCACACATGCAAATTCACGGACACAATTCTGATTGCATTAGACTAGCCATATGTACCACTGTCCACCTACGAACACCTATCTTTTGTCAACAATTTTACTTTTTTGTTTATCTGCCTGAATGATTATTTTGTGTTTTTTTTTAATTTATTAGAAAATACGCTCCTGGTGGCATTGATAAAGAATTTTGATTTATTTTACGTTGAACGATTTTGCGCTAGGCGAATTGTTGGTGAAACCTACATCGCAAATTCATAATATTTCCTCAACGTTACGCAAATCAAATGATTAGTGATTTCTTATATCTTGCCATTTAAGAATTGGTAATGTCAGATTTTGGAGGTACACTATATAATTCCCTGGTGTGAGAACCTAAGGAGGTTGATAGGATTGCACTCCTAGCACACGAGATATGATTCTTTTTTTGTAAACTGATATTTATAATCTAGGAAACCTCTTCGATCACACTTTAGATCGGCACTGCTTGGTGCCATCTAAAAAATAACCATATAAATGACCTAAATCGAGTTTTCTTCCTTTTTATGCCTATGTGTTTTAATATACCAGCACGAATGCCACGGAAACTTTTTTCCCACCTTTGTAAGGTATAACAGTTTGGTTTCTGGACTTGAAACCAAACAGACAAAAGTAGCCTAAATTTTGTGATATTCTGACATTGGAGGTTCTGAGAACTTTTCTAGGACTGCATTTTTAATCCTGTCCTTTTCACTAATCGGGTACCCCATAATATAGGGTGAAGTGTGTTCGGGACATGGCTGCCCAAAACAAATGGTGCTGTGCTGACTAATTTACCTACTTTGCCAACTGCATAAGCAATTTTCATTCAGATTTAGCTAGATAAATCCTTAAAATGAAAATAAAGCATCAGACTCGGTGTGATAGCACTGTCTAATGTGGAAAGCCTAGTTAATCCTGTTCCCATCTTTAGTTTACTTAAATGTAAACTGTGAACAATCGTCTTGGCTTTGTTGATTGTATCCCTTAATGCTCTTCTAAAACTGATCAAACAATCTTGCCGAATTACCTGCCGCTGACATGTAGGCTGTGCATGTTAGAACATTTTGAACTTGTTTTACCTGTGGAGCTTATTAATCATGGTAATAATTTTTTTAGCAATTTCAACAAACCTTATGCGTTCATTTGACAGCACTTACAAGTCGTGCCGCACACCAGCTGTTTAAAATTTTCACGTATAAACTTGAACGAAATGCATTAGTAGGAAAGGGTGCTTTGAAAATAATAAATGTCAATGACTTAAAATTTACCAAAATAAACCAATACTTCCTTGGATACTCGGTTAACGGCATTTTAAAGTCTTTTTTTTAAATACTAAAAAATCATTTCATTACATTTATAACACCACAGTAATTCACCCTAGACGCGCCCTCTGTTGTTCATCACTTTGTTCTTGATGTGCTTTTGGTCGCTTCTTCCACACTTACGTCGCACTAATTTGAACATCGAGGAACGCGAAGTGCAAAAAGTACTAATGCAACTTTGGGGAAACTTTTAGGTTAGCCGATTTCATCGCCGATGCAGCTGACCGAATTATTACAATGAAGATTGTTAAAAGACGGACAATCAAACGGTATGTTATGAAACGTGGGTAGGCTCTAAGACCACTTTTGACTGGGTCGAAAACCCAATAAAACTGAAGAATAACGCAGAATATAACCTAAATATTCACCAGTATAGTAAATTAGCGTACCGTTAGTTGTTCATATACTATATTTTGGCTTTGCTATATTTAAAGATGGCTTTGTTTTGGAGGCTTATCGTGAGGATCAGCTCTGGAAGGCCTACCAGTCTAAGTATTTAGGTGCTTTTGTTCCTGAATTCGCAAGTTTTGTAATCTTTTCTTATGACAGTCCTCTGACCAGCTCTTTAGTACAATTGATGCGGCTGATAACTCATGGGCTTATGGATGCTTGACTTGACGAAGCACCCTTTCTGTTTCCAGTACCATTAATTAAGTCTTCTCAAAACGAAATATCTTTTTTATCAGTGATTCATCATATTTCACGTTTCAGGCAGCCTACTTTTCTGTAACTTGTCATTATATTTTGTTATCTGAGACTGTAATGTTACAAACTGTCCTGCAGTTATCGCCAATTACTGGTGTATCTGGGATACCCCCCAAGTCGAGCAGAGAGCATGGCCATTGGCCACTTTTGTCGCATTTTGGCAGAGTTTTCTCTCGAATATCGTACTACACGAGAGCGGATACTTGAACAGAATGCCAAGAAAGCCAACAACAAGGAGAGAAAACAAACACGCGGCAAACTAATTGATGATGTGAGTTTCCAGAGGTATTCGATTAAAATTTGTATTCCTCAGTATACATTTTTTTCCATCTAATCCTTGTGGCAATAATGTAGGTCTTGGCTATCGACGAAGGGCTTATACACCCACAGGACGTGAGTTATCTCCCCAGTCATCCACCTTTCATGCTTCTCTAAAACGTAACCCCATTAACCAATTTCCCCCAAGTTAACTACGTCTGGCAGTGCTGCTTTTCACCTTTTACGCTTACGTCGTGAAAATTATTTATGATTTACAGAAGTGTTCGATTGCACCATTCATTTTCTACTTCAGTGTTTGCGATCATCTTGACAACAGTATTTATTCTTTGTCTCTTAGATAACAATTTTCACACTACTTAATGGTAGACAAGTAGATTGTGCTAAATTTTTACCCATGTTTTTAGGTTCCGCACATTCGCACAACAGCGGTCTCCAAACAGCAAGCGGCTGATGACATGGAGTTAAGACAAGTACTTTCGAGTAGGCGAGAGTCCAGTAAGTTATCATACCCCCTCTTACCCTCGCTGGAACCTAGTTTCCGGCAGTTCAAATTTAAAGTATTATGTGCCCAAGAATAGAACATTGTCAATGATTTTCGCATCAGATCTATCGACTTATCACACGTACGGTGTCCTAATCGAATCACTCTTCCCAATGATTTTTCCTTTCGATCCAGTATGTCGTTTGGCCGCTACTTTTTCCTAGTTCCACGCAGGTTTACAGCACGATTCCTTGCAGGATTGATTTGAAGGTACTCTAGACGGAATAACTCAAATGATATATCGTTTCTAGCTTGACCTTCAAAAGCGATCTGCGGTATTTAGAAGCTTGCTCGTGTGTTTAAGTGATCTTGTTTGTGTTCTCAAATGAAGTTATTGTATTAGTTCATTTATAATGCCCACATGTAAGCCAGAACAGGATTTTTTACCGCTAAGAAATGAAACAAACGTGAATATTCTTTCAAGGAGCATCATGGCTTTCAAGTGTCTTGAAAATTGGGCGAAATAAATTAGGTACATGCAGTCATGAAAAGTGCAGAAAAAATAATCCATACATTCCTTATCATTCTTTCTGATATGTAGAAAAATATATACCTATACTCTATATAATTCGAATGATTGGGTATTTATACAACTTGTTTGTAACATGATTATTTTTTAGCAAATTAACATTTAATAAATGTGAAATTTGCATGTGCTTATGCTTCCTATACATTAAAGGCTTACAGCACTAGCTGAGTCAATTGTTCAAAATCAGTTGACAGCGGACGACGAACAGACTCTGAACATACGTATTTTGCGTATATTTTCTACCGGAACGGCTGCTACCTTATTTGATTGAATTCACATTTAGCATGTTTTTTCATTATTTAAACTTGCTTTATTTATCGACCACATTCCATAAGTACCTGCTTTACCCGTGTTGTTTTCAGTCGCAGGTGTAAAACGCCACAAGGACCGTGGTTTAAGCCCCTGTTTGCCAAGTGCGGCATCGGATCTCGTGAGTGACCGCGACCGACGAGAGGCCAGTGTTCTCCTCGACGCCTGCGAGCGTGCTTCCTCCGTGGCCCCCTCCGGAGGTACTCTCTCGCGAAGGGGTCCTTCAAAAGAGCGTCGGCGAGTACAGGAGCGCACACGACAAGCTAGTAAGAGCGGATTGAGTACCTGTGGTGATATAGGTGGTAGTTATGAGTTAAGGAACGGGCATGAACTTATTCGGTTGCATTTACTTTTGAAAAATTGTTCGCAAATAGCTATGCATAATATTCAATGAAATGGTTATAAACTGAGGAAATAGTTGTGTGTGTTCTCGAAGATAGTTTTGAAAGTTGCATGGACATTTGTCCTTAGTTGTGAAGGTCCCAAGCACCGGGTTAGCTAATTTAAATAATCGGCAGTTGTAACTTTGGAATGCTTATAGGTGCACCGGATATTTCTGCTCCACTCTTTAAAATGACTCCCTAGACGAGACGTGTACGTGTAAGATCGATAAGAAATTTGTTGTTGTGTTGACGACGCGTTTTTGTTTTTGTCTATGAAGACCCCAGAGTGTGTATGTCGCTCCCCTTACTGCAACATGAAGATATAGACGCTCTGAATTTTGTTTGGAGTTTTCAAGGCTTTACTAAAAACACGTTAAGTCGCGTTCGAAATAGTGTTAAAGCTACTCTTAACCACGTAATTGCATGTCAGGAATTTCGGTGGTAAGTTTTACACTTAAAAATAGAAGAAGGATTTAGGAACTACTCGTGGGCGTTTGATCCAGCACGTTCACATTAAACAATTTAACATTCCTCCAGCAACAGCATGTGTAAAACGAAAGTACTAATTGGCCTTGAAAAAGACGGGTCCATTACATCATAATTGTAACCAAAAGGCACCACATCAGGTTTTTTTAATTCCAGAAGATGAGGACTTCACCTCTCCAATCATAGAAGCAATAGAACGGTAGTAAGCTTCTTTAGTAAACTAAGGCCAATTACCAACCCCACTAACCAGCTGGTTAATTTTTTCTTGATTCCACTGGGAATTTCTATTGTTAACAACTATTTACTTAGCATCAAGAATTTTATGCTTATTTATTTCACTTATAGCCCGGCTGTTTTATTAACGTCATCAAATAACCCAACTGCAAACCTCTACAACATCAGGTCTCGGTAATACAGTGCACAAGCGTGCCATTTGTGTTGCTGTGCTCGATGTTTTCGGCTTTTTCTCACTTTTAACTGCTGCTTTTTGAAACCATGCATGTTCGTTTTAAATCTGCACACCGATGTTTGTCCTTTTGAGTTTGTTCATGTTTTTGCAATGCCTTAAATCCACTGTAGAGGAGAGTACAAAATTAACGGTGACTCTGGCTAAAGTGGGAATTTGCGCACAAGTATTTCGATAGTTGCAGAAGTCATTTTACTGCACCTACCGATACACAAACCAGAAATCGAACATTACCTGCACCTAAGAGAAGTCTAAACAGGCCTAACATTGGATAAAAATATAATTCCTTATCAAAAATGTATCAGCAGCTATTAAGACATTTATAAGTATGCCCATATTTAAACCCAGTCGTCACTCTTGCATATTTCATCACCAAATGTTACGTTGGCGTTAACTTTGTATTTAAAAACGTTATAGAAATGGACACGACACTAATTCGAAAAAAGGAAATTCAATTTTTTAATCTTCCAAAACAGCTGATGCTCCCAAGGCTTCGACAACCTTTGTTTCTGAGGCAAAACGTTGAATGTCTTAATATTGCTGTGATTAAGAAAACTTCTAGGGGTGAACATAGCCGACGTTGAAATCGGAATAAAGTAGCCAGTGGGCTAACCGAAACCGGGAAAAGCGAGTCCATTATTTTACGGAACCTTGAAGAATAATTAGGCCCATATTGGTTGTTAAATTAAATCAGTCCGGTGTAACTTACGATCCTAAAGTTTCCAATGTGTTGTCAACGCCATTTTCTTTGTTTACTTTGTTACTTACTTTGTTTCTTTGTGCTTTGCTGCCAAGTTTCTCGATTGTTGGTTGGACCTTTTAAGCCAGAGCAACTTTGGCATTTTTTTTCTTGAGTTCCGCGAAGCGATGTGTCAAAAAAGCACGAGGTTTACTGTTCATATTTGGCTTTGCCGATTCCTCCATTCGAATCGCTGGTGATTTGATAAAGCAACAACATTTGCGGTTTTGCGTGTAGCTTTGTCTCATAAAGGTAAAATTAAATGAGTTTTGTTTTGCAGCCGAGCGAATGCTGTCAAACAAAATCAGTGACAGTGACATGCGCCATCTGGAAAACATCCTGAGGCGACCTCGCAGAGTTTGAAGATAATGCGCTCCTTCCTCATCGCTGACAATTTCTAAAGACTTTTGGGCTTTCACCTCAATCCTAACTATCTCAGTGCGCGCACAGCATTTCGCTTCAAGCGGAGGTCGACGTGATCGAGCGCCCCTTATTGTTAAGATTTTAAGTACCAGATATAATGCGAGCCCTAACTCTCCAGGACTTCCCGTACAATTAAGAACTGTCAATATGTTGGACCCTTTGTGCATTTCTAACACAGGAAGCTTTCCTCTCGCTCATAAGAAAACACTTTTCGAGTTTTTTAAACGCGCAAATCCAAATGCCCTTAACAGAATGAAATATTTATACGCTTCTTACAAGCTTACTTACATCACAAAGGCAATGTTTTGCTCTCTATACTTATATTTTTATACCTTGGGACTAGCCCAGCAAATGTATAATTAACTTTGTTCCCCGATTACCCATTTTGTTTGTTCCGCACTCGTCTTCCGTGCTGACGGGGTAAGCAGCCTCATACTGTCGCTTGCGGACAGAGACAGTGCCTCCTCCATGACCCCACAAGTCGTATCGCAGCAATGGTTTGTTACGTTACACGCTCCTTTGTATAATTTCATTTGCTTATATGTGATACAATTAAAGAAGAGTGCCCTTACATTCAAAGAACAACACCCAACCCCCCTCCAACTCTTTCAATTAGTCCCTTTACTTTCCTGATCCCAAACACCCTTTCTTTTTATTGTAACATTTTAAAAAAACTGTTTAAGTATTCTAAATAGTCTGCTAGACAGCTGATACCGTAACTGTGATCTCTCGCAGGCGGCGGGGCACTTTCTGTGCAGATCGATATCTGTCATCTATTATTTAATGTGCAAAAGACGGCGCTTGGAATAAAGGTGAATTGTTTCGGAAAAAACATATTATTAGAACTTAATGCTCTTAGTATAGTTATCTAAGTAAGTTTTGTGCTTTAATCTGAATGTCGTACAGGTCACTTTTTTGGTCTAAACGGGCTTCCCTTGTAGAAACAATTCTACATTGTGTGAGTGTAAAGGCTTTTGCTTCAAAATGGTAGATGGAAGTTAACACTGTACATGAGCACGACAAATTTTAAGCCAGACATATCAAGTAAGTGGATTAAGGATCAGCACTGTGGAAAACTGGAGATGCACCATCTGCCAGTAAGATGATTAAAACACTAATTTTGATACTTTTAAGGGTAAATTTGCAGCTGGCGATGTCATTTTGAGACTTTACTTTTTCTGGCATCTATTTCCAAACCTATTTAAAAGGTACTAAGACTGTAAATATCAAATATTCATTTTGTCACCAACTTTGGGTTTGAAAAGAATGAAAAATGCCCCAAAAACGTGAAAATCGGAAAAACAATGATTCAAATCGTTGTCGGCATTTGCGCAGCTTGCAAAATATCAAATTTCAGTTTACATTAAAGCATCTAACAAATTTTCCTGCAGCACTATTAATAAATTTCAAAATAAGACTTTTCACTACTGGATGCTTGAGGGACAAAATAAGGTATAGGAAGACAGACTGCAAATATCTACTGATGGTGTTTAGAAATTAATCCCAAAATTAAAGGGCATTTGCACAAAAAAAACAGCTACGAGCATAAACTACAATCTACTTAAATATGTATGCACTGTGGGTACTATGTCATCGAAGACAATGGTAGCAACATCATGCTATCCATGTTGTGGCAGCTGCTTCAATTTGGAGTGATTGCGTGCGTTGAATATGGTTCTGTTTGGTAAATTTTTTAGAATTATTTGCCAATATGCTTTAAAATCGCTGGACGCAATTTGGAATTCGGGATTAGGAGGCCTTATTGCAATTCCTAAATTTTAAACATACAGATCAAGGCAACAATATTAGAACATGGTTGGTTTCCAATCGTCTCCAAGCATGGCCTTATAGTATAAACGTAGTTTGGGAAATGCGACATCCTTGAAGCATTTGGACGCTGTGATCGACGGGCTGGTCAAAGCACTGAACAGATAAGGAAATATTGCTCCCAAATTTAGCATCAGACCCAGGATTCATGTGAAGTTGAGCATTAGCCATTTCATAGGTCAATGGCGATCGCATATAAAGTATGTAGAAGCAGGCGATTTTTCACAATCACAACCCCCTGCAATATGCATATCGAAGCAACTTTCGCAGATTTTCCACGTACTTACGTTTACACCAGCTCACGGTTTGCTGCAAAAGCCCTCACCATTGCACTAATGAAAAGAAATAAAAAAATTCCTCTAAATTCACTGTAAAAGTGACTGAAGACGTTTTCCAATACATTTATGGCAATAAAATCATGCAAGTTGTGATGTCTACGAAACCTATTTTGTTTCGTTAATACTAGTTTTGCTTACCACAAGGCTAACAATCTGCAGTAGTAGTAGTAGTAGTAAAAGAGTTTATTTTATATCCCCAGCATGTCCATATACGCTTCAAGTGACCTTTGTGTTAGTAAACATTACTCAAATAAAGTGATAGCGAAGTTTCTTATCTACAAAATGGGTTTGGAAGCAACAAGTGATGGATAAAACGTGGCTTTCTAAATAAATTTGCAGTGAATTTTTTTTAAACTTCGCTGTGTACTCTAACTCAAGCATGCTCGCATGTATGTAAAATTTATTTTACAAAAAATGACAACCAATCGTAACTGTATTTAACCTTTTACAGTCGAGGCATGCAAGAGTATGACGAACACTAAATATCAGTCAATCTGGGGTTCTTTAAATCAAGCCTGTGTTAATTAAAACACATTTTAGAGCGTGACAAATTCACATATGGGTCATGATTTTATACGAAAAAGAGACCGTAACCTACTTTTAACACCATAGATAATCAATGTGTGTAGCTAGCTAAAAAGGGGCATTAAAAATTTCTTGAAGGAAATTTAAAATAAACGAGGTTAGGAGAAGGGACGAAGTACTTCTTAAAGGAAATGTGTGAATAAGCAGTAAAAAACAAGTTTTCAATTACTCAAAACAAATTAGGGGTCAATAATCAAATATTTTTTTGGAATTGGCAATGGTATTCAGAGATTTCACGGGTTTAATTAGTTAAAACAGTTTAGAACTAACAGGAAGGCGTTAACATGTAGGCAATGCAGCAGACGGACTTGAAGTGCTTAAATACTTGGATTGTCGAACAAATCAATTCCTTCACATGATCGACAGCTGACAGCCTGATGGTCTAGGAGTACCAACACGAGCCATGCGACCGGATTACTACACAATCTTGGGGGTATCCAGAGAAGCTTCCAAGGAAGAGATAAAGAAAGCCTACCGCAGACTTGCTCTAACATACCACCCAGATAAAAATTCAACTCCCGGAGCAGAGGCAAAATTTAAGGAAATAACCCAGGCTTATGAGGCGAGTCCTAATATCATTAAGTTATTCTCTTACGTGAATAACAAAGCTACTTGTAATTTATTTCTATCCGTGGTTACCATAATTTAGTAAAAGGGTTTGAGGCCGTAAAATTCTAGAAGAAATAGATTACAATTTTAAGATGATTATTAGTCTTTTAAAATAGCTAGGTAGGTATTATAAGTCACAATTTATGGAGGCACCACCCGGGCGATGACCTTGCAAATTGTTTGTTTACAAATTAACCAGTGGTCTGCATGCCCAACTTGGATTATATTCATACGCATTTTAGGATGTCAGTCTTTTAGTACGTCAGAGTACAGCGCACTTAGGTTAGATATTAAAGTGTATTGTCAGATTTCTTAGAGCGGCCCTTCAAAAAAGCTTTTCAGATGGCTGCGCACAAACATAGAATGTAAGTGCCAGAAAAGAACATGTGGAGATCATATGTCTCGGTGGATCATGCAGCGCAAAACACCAATGGCTTACTAATTTGAGTAATGGAACGAATCACACCTAGTATGAAGTTGCTCTCCTGAAGTGACAATTTAAGTAACAGAATGGCACATCATAGGCTGAGCATTTTTTCCCAAATATATGGAATAAAAATATGGTGGCGATGCTAAGTCGCTGAAAGGTTGAAAACGTCTGACCGTAAGTTTACCCTCACAACAGAATATTCTCCTTCAAGCCTGACTACTCCGATTTCCCTATATCGGATTATCAGTATATAGCGATTTATTTGTGATATTCGTCAACATTCCATACCTAAAGTACTAAGGTTCTCTCAGCCTTTTTTGATTACACTTGGAGTCGGTACTTCTTTCAAATTACAGTCCAGTGAGCTTCATTGTCTGATATCAGAACGAAAAAAATTTAAGCTTCAACGATATGAAATTTTAGGTACTAAGTAACACTGATAAACGCCAAGCATATGATTTGTACGGCGATGGTGATCCAAGGTTTCACACTACGAGTCGGTCATCGTCACGCACACAGAGGAACGAATTTAGTCCCTTCCATGCCTTCGAAGTATTTGTTGGAGGAAATACTCAATTCAGGCAGTATTTTGGAGTCGGACCAAACGTAAGCTCCAAAACCTACCTTTTTGGTAATACAAATTGCACATATTTGACAGTCAATGCAACTTTCGTAGGACAGAGACTATCATTTGTGCCATGGAATTTGTGTCATTTGCTTCGTATTGACTGAACTATGTTTTACAGGGCATTATAAATTCGAACACTGACTTCACACAATTTGCGTTATAATTGCACTGCGATTGTGGATTGTTTTTTCCTAGTTTTGGAGTCCCATTTCCATGTATTGAATTTTAACCCTTAATTTGAATCGGTTGAAACAAGAATATGCTACTGATAGAAAGCTTCACCAACGTTTCGCTTTCCATGACCGTGGTGGACAAATGTGTCTCTTCATAGAGCCCCCAAACATCTATTTGAGACTAGTAATTTGCAAAACACATAGTAATGACCAGTTCAGCGCCAAGTTCAGAGCACAAGTTAACCTTGATGCTGTCATTTTTTCTTTCAACGACTTAGCAAGTAGATTTCAACGCCTAAACCACCGTGGAACCTTTATCCGATGGTAAGATGAAAGCTATCACTGGCATTTAATCATTACAATCACTTATTGCGAGACAGTAACAGTGTACAAATGTCGAAACTTACTAATTTTTTTGCAGACGCGTCATGGACAGCAATATTTAAAACATCTGACCCTTTCGAAAACTTCCTATACGTAAAGGTCAACATAGTGGCTGCATGGACCAGCAACTTGAAAATATTTGAGAAGATTTGAAAGAAAATAAGACGCCCTTGCTTTTATTCTGACAAGTCTCCATCAACAAACAAATGTTAATAAATGTATTCATTCGGACAACGGATAAATCTGTAACACATCTTGATATTTTTGGAAGGAAGGCAGCATTGCGACCCAAAGAAAATTAATTCTCTGGTCGGCTATTCGAATTGAGAAAAGTCTAGCAAAATTTAATGCCTGTCGGTCTAATAAAACTCACTCAGAAAAGCTCCTCCTTACTGACACCAAACGATCGATTCTGCTGTGTAAATTAAACTGCAACACTGTCGCAGTAAAAATAGATCAAGTGACAATTATAAAAAGACTATCATTTCTTGTCAGGAGGTAACTAACTGTTTCAATTTACTTAAGCCAGATGTTTGTATCATTTTAAGGAGTACGTACGCAATTTTTCAGCATCCATAGGTGGTGACGATAAGCGATGGGCTAAGACGCAGTGGTTAAATGAATGAAAGGATAGTTACAATTGTCCTGCCTTCTCTTTTTTGCAGGAAGTTCATTCAACGTTTGTTTTCAGCAAATCTGACAACCAGGTTGGTGCCTTTTCATCGGTGGCTAGTGAGCGCAAACATCACCATCACGTTCCTTCACGCAAGGCCCCTGATACTGAGCACTTTGTAAAAGTCACGCTAGAGGATCTTTTGAGTGGTGTGTGCAAGAAAATGAAGATCAGCCGGCGTCGTTTCAATAAGGTAGCGCAGAATTTTTTTCAGGAAGAGCGGGTCCTTTCATTTAACATCCCACCAGGGGCTCGCAACGGCACGAAGATCCGATTTCCTGATGAGGGAAATGAGACGTTAAATATGGCGCCTTCTGATGTTGTCTTCGTACTCGTGGAGCAGCCTCATGACCTTTTCATCCGGGATGAATGCAATCTACACACAGGGTGCAAGATTGACCTGAAGCTCGCACTTTTTGGTGGTACCCTTGTAGTAAGTTGAAGCATGGCATTTGGACCTTCTTCAAATAAAAACCAAGCTTATTCATAATTGCGTCAAACGTACTTATAAACTCTTTAAATCTAAGAGAAAACCTGATTGAAGTCTAGAATTATGAATCAGGAATAATTTGCATTTAATGTTGAGGTGCACTGAAACGAAAATTGCCTTATTTGCAAATATCTTGTCAATTTTAGATCAAAGGTTTAAAGAATGAGTCCTTTTCTGTGAGAATGGAGCCTATGACATCGTCTCTTTCTCCCCTCGTCATTCCAAACGGCGGACTCCCGGAGCCCATGCCCTCGGAGGAGGGTGAACCGAAGAGATTTGACCGCGGGAACCTTATTGTGCACTTCGAGATCGAACTTCCCAAGCTGTCGCCCAACAAACAAGATACAAATACCATAAAATCAGCCCTTCCTGGCTTGGGTCAAATGAAAGTGCAGTATCTGCCTCGGCAAATATTTTTACAGTCGCCCAAACCCTAAAGAAGATTTATGATTGATGGTCACGCTGTAACATACCAAATGTTATTTTCTTGTGTTAGCATGGTTCTTCTCTGGGTCATTCAATATCTCGTTTTATAGTGTCTTTATCTAGGCTTATCCTAGTTTTTCCTCGAGAAATGGTGGCATTTTTTTTAATAAATCCAAAGAACATATCAATCACTGCTGAGTTAATGCATATGATTTGTGTTAATTTCATCTTTAAAGTAGAAAAACAATAAGTTTTCAGACTAAGTGAAATTGATATCCCAAAGTTCATGGTTCCTTAATTCAGGGTAAAACAAGTTGGCGACAAAGTGCAAATTCCAGAGGCATTCAACTTTTGCTTGTCTGTTGAGTAATCACGGGATCTTATCAAAAGAATGGCCCCAGCAAAGCTCTTGTGGCTGTCTTCATCGTATCAAGAGAAACGAATTTACCTTATACACCGTGTGAATATTATAAAATTCGATTTTGCCTGGATTTATAACAAACGGACACTAATCGGCAAACCGGAATTTTATTTTAACAATTCATTTGCTCCAAAAATTTGCTTCAAAACGATAACGTAAATTAACCCTGACCCCAAATTAAGGAATATTCCTTCTTAGGCACCTGTGCTTATAGTCAAAGCTCCATTAATGGGACAAATGACATCTGCCGAGAAATTGAGAACAGTGGGAGTAACTGATCCTGTTTCTTGGTTGATTGGCATAAAGTGTGACTGCTTGTCTTGTCGGCAGATGTGTAACACGAAGTGTACATGCCGCAGAGCATGTAGTTCCCATTTGTAAAATTTCGCTGATCTGCTTAAAGCTACTTATTTCTTCGTAATACGGATTTACTTGGTGAGAAGCCCCCTGTCTTTGAAATTGCAAACCACAACGTAGGTTTCAAATAACTCTCATGCTTTTCGACATCAAAGGCAATTTAGCGACTTCCTTTGATCCGACCACCATTGGAATAGTAAAAATGTTCAGTTATTGAAGCGTTGGTTAACACAAGTGAGTAGCAAGCATTACAGTTACAACTTACCAGGGGCCTAATTTCGCTTCAACAAAATATTGGCACCAGACTGAATTAGTTAATAAATTAATCGGTTGCTGAATGACCTGCATCATTGAAATTGGTGGCTTCCTTCAGTGACAGGGCTCAATCATCATTTTCACCAGTTTCGTTTGTTCCATGACCAAAGGCAGTAAGCGTCGTGTTCAACCTTTGGTGACCTGTTTTCTCTTCTAATTTAGCACGGCAACTTACAAATCCTTGCAGTGGTGACAACAACATAATTGCAAGTGATCACCTGAAGGATGGAGGACTCGGGCTACCAACTAAAGCAGACTACACGCCTGTTTCTCTTAAATTTTGCCAGCAACCCCCTTTTAACTCCACTTTGTCAACTTCAGCGTTTAGCTTGGGCGATTTTGTGTGTTCATTTATGGTGAAGTTGCCTACTTTTTTGTTTTCTCTTATCATGTAGATTGCTTGAAAGCTACCTAAAGGAAAGAGTTTGTAGAAGATCTAGCCGATCGTGCAATTTGTATGTCTCCCGCTCGGGTATTTGTAGGGTAGACAAATTAATGAGTAAACAACAAATGCAAAAGTTAGTTAACATGCGGGTGACAACTTAAATGAGTATTTGTGGCAACTGCTCCAAATTTTCAAATGCACAACTCAAGGCGTTCAATTTTCATTTTGCTTCCAATTAGGAGTTCCGAAGGATTCACTACCTTTGTTGGTCATCAACCTAGTAGCACAATCACCTAAATATTGTTGCAATGTTGGCATTAGGTTTTTATGCTTGTTTAGGAGGATTGTGCAAAAGTGGTTTCATAATTTCAATTGGAATTTTAATTCATCTTTAAGTTTACAATCATTAGCTATTTTATTTACAACAAGCAATTTGCTTTAAAGATACAAAATGTACTGAATCGAATACTTAGATTTCCACCAGTTAAGGCCTCACTAAATTCGTGATTCTGATAAAAATCCCAACGGCCTTTCGATAAAGAGACAAGGCAACCGTGGGACTCATAATCTTTGACATATTTAAAAGGGCTTCTATCACCTACACTGATAAGCAGAAGTATATGTTTACATTAACTTAAAAGGTTAAAAATCATCAAATTTGTTCTTCAACTCCATACAAATTCGAACTGCTGTAGAAGAAAACAAAATCTAATTACTTTGAAGAAAAAAACAAAACAAAAGGCAATTTAAATACTGTACAGTCGGCCCTTTTAAGAGAAGAAATATGGTTTTTTGTTAGTTTCATTAAAAAACGTGGCTACATTAATACGATATACTCAACAAGGCAGTCCGATATATCGTTTGGCAAGTTAGTCCTAGCGGAGTCATTCTCCACCCTGGAAACTATATCAGCATATCAAAAAACACCACAGAATTCCATAACTCGTAGGAACAAATAGTTAACACAAATAACACCGTTTAAATATCTTGTCCCGTGCAAAAAAATTAAGTGTTCTGGCAAGTTGCATTTAGGATTCATCTAAATTTCAATTTTTTTTCAAGTTAACATAACTAGAGTTATTATTGGATGCTGCTGAAATTTTTTACTTCCACTGCAATCCTGCAATTGTTTTTATTTTTCCTTTCAGATTCAAATACAATGAATATCGCTTTATTTAATGTGATCTTTTAGCAATAGGAAAAACTAACAAAAAATCATTCGTTAGAAAACATTTGATTTTGTTACGAATAAGACCAGGTCTTAATTGGATTTTCAACAATTAGTTAAACTACTGACAATACTAACGAACCAAAGGTCCTGAAATATCGTCCTAACTCAAAATCTCGAACTCAGAAGACACGCACAGCTAGTAACAAACTTTAATCGGCGCTGTTTATTAATAATACATATTTCTTGCTTAATTTTTTCTTAAATACTTAATAATACGGTAACTGCGGTAGGTTATTGCCTTGTTGATCAACAAGGCCCTGCAAAGAAAATTGTGGAGCTACAGTGATGTTTAAACGGGCTACCTTGGTTTTCTCTAAAAGTCACTAGTTAACAACTTCAGGTACACATAAATTCTCACCAAGCTAAGATTTATATTGTGAAATTTTTTAGTCTTAACATATCATATACGAAACCGACTCTGAACACTTCTCCTTACAGTATACATACATTACGACATTTATATAAATTGCATTCCCTAATCCATTCTGAAGTGCTTCTCTTGTTATCTGCTGGCAGCTTTCGTAGAGACCCTATGTCGCGATTGAGTTCAAACCCATTTATTTATTCATAAATGTCTCAGAACAACGTGCTTAATTAATTACTACACATTTGAATTTTACAACAAAACAATACATTACCACTATTGGTTGATTCTGGAATCCGATAATGGTGGTGTTCATCAATTCCTCACACTCGAGTCTGTTTGGTTCCTTGCGCGTGTTCTTTGGCATATTTCAAGAAATACTTCTGTATAAGCACAGTATTCTCCATACACACTGAAAGGTAGTGTAGAATTTTTCATTTGTAAATTCCCATTGCCTTGCTGCATTTACTCGCATGTAATAATTTGCTTCTCATTTCCCTTAACTGTGATTAGAGTATCTAAAATTAAGCTTAACAGGACAAGAGGTTTTAGTCACCCTTAATTTGATTTATCATTGTTATAGTTTTAAATCATGTCTTGATTACAGATAGTAATAAGTCGTGATTCATTCGAAATCTATTGCTTTTGTTATTTTTCCTTCGCCTTATCACATGTCCGGTTTAGATATTGTGTACTTTTGTGTATAGTAATATCAGAAGAACAAATACCGTTATTATTAAATGTGCCATTCATCCATGATTACTACTCTTTTGGTCAGTCCATAGTTTATTTGCTTCATGTCATTTCTTTGTTATTGACAAAATAAAATGTAATCGATTTACTATACCGTCGAGATCACTGCTTTCGATCTGGTAGGTTATCTTTTTGGTCGCCCACAGTTTTATCAATTGTGGTTTGCAAAATGACTGGTCAATAACTTATAAATAATTACCGTACATAATCATTTGCATTTCTATGTTATTAGCTGTTTCATTGCCAAGTAGGACCTTTGTAAAAATAACTGGTACACCACCAACAAGAAAACTAGTTGTTCTTCCTCAATATGATTGCTGTAACACATTTAATAGACCTAGCAACTAGCCTTTTAACTGATTATTATGCGTATAGTGTTAATTCTGTAATATTATTGCCACAATTTGTGGACGACGACTCCAATTACAAAACGACGATCTTATTAGATTAACCATCCGATTTATTTTGCCCAAATTGACCTCGTGGCAACTCAAAACGATCGAAACTTTTATTAAATTAATTTGGTGCATAATCAGTCTCCAAGATGTCGATACCGGACTTTATGGGCCCCACAGTTTTTTCACAAATGGGACGAAATTATTTGTCGTCATTTCCCTGGTTTTTTTGTGGTACTTTATTTTACTTAGATCACATGTAATGACCCTACGTTCGTCTGCTAACTCATCCATGCGAGCATGGCGCCGATACTTTCCACTTGTTTCCATGGAGTCGGTGACTGATCTCTTCGAGGAAATGCTTCAAGGCAGCCACATCTCCGATGCGTCTTCAAATTGCTCCTCCACTGGGACTTCTGTAAATTCGGAACCTAATTTGGCTTTCATATCCATTATTCTTGGGTATATCGAGACGCATATCACCACCATGTCTTGTCCTGTGGAATCAGTACAAAAACCAAAGTCTGACCTCGTTAATTCGCGAAAACGGATCGTAACTGGGAAATCAAATCGTAGTTCCAAACGGCCCAACTTACGGCCTTCCTCACCAACTATTGGCGGAACGGAATCCTCTGCATTGGGGCCTTCAGTTGTCGAAATTCCATCCGATGCCAGTGTTGCGTCAATTAGCGTTTCATGCTGTGAAAGTCCTGCCCCTGCAGTTGGAGATGCAATATTTTCTACAGACTCAGAGGTGCTAACACCAATTGAAACGAAGTGTTCGTTTCCTGTATTACGTTACGAGGAGGTAGAACTTCTATATCAAAAATTTTACTCAATGATTGTTAATCACCCAAAGGTAACTTTTCATTGTTATTACAAGTGTCTTGCTTATGTAGTTGGCATCGTTAGCAAAGATAAATCATGATCAAGCGGGTACTAAAAAGGAAACTGTCATTCCCGAAAGCATGCCCTCAAATCGGAGGTTGGTTAAATTGGTCTGCGATATCCTCTGTGCACACATGTCTTCAGGACGCCAGCGTGAACATCTTGCACACGCCCAATCAATCTACTCCCTCCTCAAAAGTTAGTACCCATTTTCTCATTTTTTTTAAATTCTATTTGCCTCAAGCTGTGTGCAGCCCTTTCGCAACTATGGTAACCGAAATTCGTTTCTTTTGTTTTTTGTTTGGCGTGACGCAAAGTAGCCGCTTCCGCATGCTTAGTTATCTGAGTACATCGGAATTATCATTAAGACGGACGACGTTTGCAAAGGTTAGACATTTTTTGCATAGTGTTAATTTTGCAACCGCTGCCACTAGAATCCGATTTTCCCATCCCGTCGTGTCGATTAGCATAATTTTCAGCTTTACCGGATGTGAATACGGAACTCACTAGTGCTCGTCAGGTGGCTACGTGCGCGAGCCACATGAAGGCAGGTTGAAAGTGTTGTGTTCGCCACCAGAATAATGTAGGGATCAATTTGCGGGCCACATCACCATGCCACATTTTTACGCCATTCATCTATGTTTCTTTTAAGTATGTACGTTATTGGGATAAAGTTATCAGGTATATTATCTCAAAGATGTCTCGCACACAGGTCTACATTACTATTTTAAAATAGTGATCCTCGCAGTCTACTGGTTATAGGTCACCGGTGCAAAGCCATCTTATCTGATTGTTTTGGATCTGCAATATGTTCTGCTGTCCTGTCAGGTTACTTTTTATGACAATTTTCAAGTCATTTTCCTCCACTGTCGACTGTCTTTATGCAAATTATTCTAATGTAATTCGGTATTCTTATCGTTATTGTAGATGGTCAACTGGATAGTTTTGGTCTCGCCTACACCACCGTAGCTGCATGTCAGCTTCTCGGCTACACAGATGTCCATTTAGCCCTGTCGGAGGATCATGCGTGGGTTGAATTCGGGCCACCCGACAGACGAGAGACGGCAGATGTTTCCGTAATGCCAGCACTTGAGCCGGGGGAGGCAATTTCTCCACAAAAAGCCCCCCTTGATGCCAATTCCACTTCCTTCGTATATCCTCCGCCCGTTCGACTAGATCATTTACTGAACTCATGGCTCTACCTTAATGGCTATCCCGTGGTTTGCAACCCTCTTGTGCTTTCCGTAGCTGCAGCAGTGACTGCAATCCAGCCCTGTGGTCTCTCGAAATCCGTGCGGCCACAGGAACAGGTGCCCAAGAGGTCTCGATTGAGGACTAACTCTGTGGCCTCTGCAGATAGTCCAAGCCCGCGGTGCTACCCCGGATACTGTGTGGAAACTATTTCTCCTCAGGTGAGTGTTGTTTATTCTTTCCACTCGGTGAATCGTGGCTAAGTCATTACGTGACAAGTACTTCCTCCCTTTAGTTAGTCCAGCTAAAGCAAAACCTATTGTGGATTGTCTATCGGGCTGGTCTGCTTAATCAGTATCCCTTGGGGCTAACCAACTTAGCAGACATTGAAGAAGGTTATCCTTCTGGTGTTCGGCTTGAGGATTTACCCGGTGACCTGTTGTTGCCTTCTTCTATGTACCCAATGCCTGAAATAGTTGAAGTGTGTGGTGGGATAGCCACAGATACTCCCGCCTCTATACCTCCTGATGTTCCGCTTAGCCTCTTACGGAGAGCAGTGGAAATCGATCGTGTTTACTTCCAAAACCAGCACGTCTATCCCTACATATACCTGGCTAACTACCTCTATCGCCGTGGTGATTTGATAGGTGCCTTGAGGTATTGGGCTGAAGCTGGACGCGTAATTGGCCAGTAAGTTATCTTTTTTATGAAACGTTGCAGGAACTTTTAGGTTACAGGATTTATCAGGTGTTACCGTTTTAATCTTCCAATTTTACATCATACATAGGAATCAATAACTTACACTTTTAAGCCTCCCTAATTATGTCATTGCAACTAACGTCTAAAACCTCTAATTACGACTTATGACGTCATGCGATACCTGTTATCTTTGCGGAAACTTACTAATTAATTTGATTGCAACCTGTTGTCTTGGTGGCAGGTAGCATCGGAGGTGGATTTCTGGTCAATCCCTAGAGGGCTGCTGTTACTTTTCCTTTTTGGTAGCAGTTAGTCTGTAAAGTCATGATTCAGGGTCTTTAGGCCGACCAATAACAAAAAAAAGTGCATGTTCTTTTTTACTTGAAATGACGTGTGCTTTAGGCAGCTTTTGCTCCACTTTTAGATACAACCACAGTTCTGAAGACGCCGAAATATATCGCGAGTTCCTTGATATAGCAACACGAGTAATACCAGACATGTTCAAGTCGTTCTCCGTCGAGAATCGGACTACCGCTAACATCAGCTCATCTGTAAACGAGATTTCTGTCGACGGTGTTCAGCCCACGAACCTTCTTGGTATGCTTTTGGGGTTTTCTAAGACCCAATTTGATGAAATCATTGTTGAGTAAATTGACGCAAAACATGTGGGGCTATTGTGAGTCCCTTTCTTCTTTTTTACTCATATTGATTCCCTCAAAACTGGCAAACCATTTTGTCTAAGCTTGATGTAAGACGTTATTTATCCATTGCCCTCAAATTAACTATCAGCTCATTTAATACGTATTCTCTGACGTAATTTATTCGTGCGACTGAATAAAATCATTTTGTTCCCATGTTAATAATTTTTTTTCATTTGTCGGTATACCCCAAGGGTGTGATCAATCGAAACTCTTGGTCACGTGCCAATTCCACGCATCGTGTTTTCTGCTCCGCATGTTTTTTTACGCACGTATGTTGTGGGCTCATTTAAAAATGATTGAAGAAAGTGTAAGATTGTCAGGATAGTTGGCTTCGAGGAGGGTCTTCATGTGGGTTTTTCATCCGGTGGAATGGGATGCTCTTTCGTTATTAATATTGTGAAATACAAAATGCTGTGGGCTTTAGCGGAATCAAATAATTCGACACTACTTTCAGGTGCTCATTGGTGAAAACTGTTTTTCAAGTTCTCTAATTCAAATGATGACATTCGCCTTTTACAAAGTACTAGTCACGTAAAATAGTAGGCTTTTGATAGTCCATTTGGCGGAAATTATTCCTCAAATACTCATTCCTGTTTTCATTATTTGTCTAATGCCTCGTTATTTTCTTTTTTGACATTCATTGGCTGTAATTTTCAATTATTTAAATAAATCAAGTCCACTAATGTACGAAACTGTTGTTGCTGTAGATTTTACAGAGCAAACTTCTGTATTTATTAAGCATATGTAGCTAATTATATGAGCTGCACCAATTTAGAATCTAAATTGCCCGTATATTTGTCCATCAGGCTTCACTAAAAGACTGGGACCCTCCAAGTGGCATAGCGTATTACAAAGAAACTAACTGCAACTGCATTCTAGTTGAATGCATTTATTTGCAGATAGTCCGCTGTGCCTGGCCTACCTACTGGCCTTCTATGATCACCTGTGCCTCTGGGAAGAGGATTCAGTCGTGCCGGTTCTTCACGTCGGCTGGGTGGACAAGTTGATGGCGTCGTTGACACGTTTCTCGGCGGCTGCACGCAGTCAACTGCACGTAGAAGCAACACGTGGCAAGGAGGACGAGGACACGCCAGCGACTGCTGCACCCACAACCCCCAGTCTCCTCGATAACCACCACCGCCACCATCATCCCGTTGGAGCAGTTGTCACGCGTTCTAGTGCCATCAGAGGCACAGCGCCCTCTCCGCTGCCTGTTGCCGTGGAGGAGGAGGAACAGCTCCACGATAAGCGGGCTCTTAGGGTCATTTTACCGCCAGCGTCTGCATCAATGTCCTTCCAAAGCCCTTCCACCACCAGTTCATCGGCTCCCTCAATGTTTACTCCTGTGCCTTCTGGGGGCCGGGAGTTGTGCCAAACTCTATCGCATTCTCGTACTATCCTAGATCCTCCAGGTTAGGTTCTGGTGTTTTCATTTCTGAAAAGCAAACTCCTAAGCACTTTTTTACTCAGTAAGAAAATTTTTTAATGATTGGGTTCTGTCTTGGATTTTCGATTTGCAATTCATGCGGAACCTAAATGTCGAGCTTCTTTCCGAGTCCACGGTGTCGAGAGTGAATCCCAGTTGTTGTCTTTGGCAAATTCACCCTCAGCAATCACGCACAGTTATATGACCATCCAATTCAAGTGTGGTCCTAATTTAGTTACTGTCAGCTTCACTAGTGCAGCCAAAGCGATATTAGTCCAATTTGAATAGAAAACCTCTGGGACGCAATTTTAGGCGCTGTTAAGCGATCAAAACTATACAAACCACACGTTCAGTTGCAAGTCATGGCATTGTTCTTGCTGTTGTGGAAATTCAAAAAAGTAACTGTCAAAAGTGTTGAATTGTGAACCTTATATATAAATCGACCCTAAACCAACCTAATTACATGCGATTGGCCTATTAGATTGGCAAAAAGTGGCAGCGAATGTCAAAAAACACTGATGCAAGTCCTTCACGACCACCAACGCAATCTATTTGAGATAACCAAAACTGCTTTCCTACCAACCCATCACTCAAGTTTTCGTGTCAATTGGTTCTTGCTGAGGATGTTGAAAGACGGCCAGAATATCCGCCATAGCTCCCACCTGGTGCCTCTAAAAATGCTTGTGCTTGTTTGTTAGATGATTCAAAGCAAGGATCACTGATAGCAGCCCAGCAGCCACCAGGCGCGCCCCCTCCACCGTCGTGCCCCACCAAGCCCGTCCTCCACTCCGATGAGGAGATCCTGAAGGATGACTTCCTCGATAGCTACGTCTTTTCGGTCGACGCCTCTTTCTCAAAAGACGAGCTCATCTCGCGGCTTGCCCGTGCTTCCCAGTTCCGTTTACTGAATCCGGCTTTTCTTATGGGGGATCTCTCGGCGTCTCCGTTCGTATCCCCAGAAGAGTTAGATGCCTTTCTAATTGAAAAGGAACCTGCGGAGGTCAGGTTAACAGTAGTTAGTTTTAACAATTATATATTTAAGGCTAGCATCGATTACGTATACAAAAAACCTTCCGTCTTTCTGTTTGATTTCCTGGTAGTAGGTAATTCTCCAATAAAGTAAATCAGTGATCATTTGCTTGAATGGAGGAAAATTTCCATTACGCTATGAAATTTTTCAAAACAAATGAGCTACAATGCCTCCATTATCATTGACTTGCAGCACGTAAATTGATGCAGATGAAGGCTGCAAGGGATGATCAGAGCCACATTTGGGCCATGGCAACTGCGTTCTGGTCCTTTGCGGTTGTCGCTGCAGAAGCAAGCCGTCCCATTCGAATTGGTGCCTAGAATATAGTCAAGTGCTTGAGTCACGGTGCATCAGCAGGACCCAGGCACTGCCATCTGATGTTTCTGATGGCCCTGTGTCGAATTTCACCATAACATCACCAGAATTAGTGTCTGCTCCTCTTGAGCAGGGTGTGGAAGATTCTCATTCATCAAGGGGGTTAGGAATGGGCTTAGGTTGAGGACACAGGAATTGCAATTAAGGTTGTAATGGATGGCGTGATGAGCAGTGCTGCACGAAATGTCCCACCTCGCTGCACCGAGCACCGACGGACTTGCGCGGGACCTTTTGTGGCGTCTCCCGCATTCAGGCCATGCACCCAGAGTTGTGGAGGTCGACGCGACGGGGAGTGTTGTGTTGGCCGTACTTTGTCAAGACGACCTTGGTGTCGGCGTTGTGTGCGTTGCGAACCTAATCTTATGCGTGAAGACGGTGACTTTCTTTGGTGTCCTCCCGTGGTGGGGGTCGTTGAGTACACCGGCACTCGGAACTCATAAACGGAACTCAAAACACGAAAAGTCTGCACAAAAGTGAAGATATTTGTAATGACAGAAGGCATTTTGTGGTCACTGGACCGGGTTTTACTGCAGTTTGAAATAACGGTTTTTTAAAGTGTGCATTTGGTGTTTTAATTCTTGGTTAGGTAGTTGCTTAAATTTGCTTCCATGTTTGGTGGACATATGCCAATGAATTAATGAAAAAACCTGGAAGACTTTGTATCCAGTTGATTGGTCTCGTCTGAAATGTCGCTGTTGCTGAACCGCCTTGTCGTCTTTCCGCGTTAGGTGTTTCAGTTCTTCAAACCCGTGCTGATCTTTGAAAAGACGTCACGCTTGACATATGACAGATTCTTTGAACAAACGAACGTAAAAATAAGTATTTCATCTGCTATGAACTCGGCCAATACGCACTGAGCTCATCCCTTTGTCTTGGCCGAGGTGTGGGGATAAATCATATTCGAATGTTTTGCTTCTAATGCCGAAATAACGAACCTTTTAATTTTGATCCTAACTGCCCTGTCACAGTTGGAGTCGTGATTCACTTTCATGCCACTTTCAAGATTGTCCAGGGGTAAATAGTCGTGTTCCTATTTGAGTTTTGTGTTCTTGTGTTATCTGATGTGTTTGACACTGATGAGGCTTTGTCAGCACACACTGTAGAATCAATGCTGTCATCGCGCCTTTTTTGATAACAAATATTTGATAACCTTTTAAGTGATTTAATCAGCGAATTTTCCCAGCAATCCATGCAATATAGCGAGGAGATTACTTGGTTATCTCAGTGCAAATAAACCAAATCGTTAATGCATTCTAGTAATTCTTTACCTACTGGGGTTACATTATAACCATAAGCTGGCGTCAGTGGACTCGTAACAATTTCGGTGACTTTATTTCCCTTTGTTAGTGATTATATGCATGGGTTGTTTTGTTCAATTCGTGGTTATCCAGATAGATGTTAATAACTTAGAAATCTGCAAAAAGTTTAGGGGCGTTCGTTAGCAAGACGACATCTTGACAATTTGAAGTTTCTTCAAGCGCATCCCATAATCTGCGCGTACTTGTTCCTCATGCCCCACCTAGACGAAGTTGCACGAACTTCAGTACACTTTGTATGTATTGCGTACCTTTCTCTAGGGCGATCAGGACAAGCTCCATCCAGCATCAACGGTCTCGCTCACCGAGGACCAGAAGAAACAGAACCATGAAGTCGGGTTAGACGTTGACGCGGCTACCGATTCCACAGTGGGTCCTAGGCGTTCCTTCTCGCCAGAGTCCTCGGCGTGCCCCTCCCTCTCCTCCATCCCGCCCACACCTCCCACCTTTCCCCTGCCCGCAAGTCCGGTGGGCGCGCTGCACGCCGCCGCGGAGGAAACCGCGCGCGACCACGTCGACCGACTCAAAACCAGTCCACTGCGAACCCCTGAGTCACTTGCGAAAGAAGGTTAACTGCACTACTCCACTTTACTGCCTATCAACTGTAGATGTGTTGCATATTTAGTGGTGTGGGTGAATAAAATAGTCTTTCCTAGTTTGAAAAACTGTTCAGTGTAAAGTATTGAGAATTTTTAATGTCTATATCCGGCCCAAGTAGATGATACTAACTCTTATTTTTGTTCTCGTTCGGTCATAATGTAGAATCGGTAGCCATGTGCTTAGCACACGTTATTCGAGTAACAGTAGGTCATGGTCCCAGGCGTTTTGACACAAAACAACCACGCGCACAGTACTTTCCTCACAATCTCTTTAAAAAGAAATTTCCAATACTTTTATGTTAATGCGAAACAGATTTTCCGAGGTATTTGCCCAGCAGGTTTCCTGTTATGCTGAACCTATGTTCAGTAAAATGGTTCGAGGTTGACCACATGCAGTTTTTTTTACTAAGATGCTGACCTTATGCTGTCAAAAAATAAAAAACCTGCGGTTCTACAAAATATCGTCTAAATTGTTGCAGTATATTTCAAACAGTACGCATAATTTCCGTGGATAGTCATGAGGTCGAAAACGTCGCCCATGTTCCCAGCGCCCTCCTACAATAACCAGTAGGCATTGGTCTTCCACTTTAAAGGATGCTTTTTGTCTTTTTTCTAGTCACCTCCCCTACAGGACTGGCGAGTAAATCGGCCTTACTTAACCCGAACTTTCCTACCCCGCCTCCCTCTCACCAGGCAGAGTCTGTGGCAGCAGATGATGTCAGACCCCCTGGGGTTTATCTGCGTCTTTTTTCTGCAAAAATGAGTCGTATCGCCAAACTCCTCACTGCACCGGGCTGCCTCAAGTCCTCCGCCATCAAGTTGACCCTCACGGCACAGAGCGAGGTCAACTTCACACGTCGCCGTGCCTCCACCATGGCGGCCGCGCGCTGGAAGCCCCACAACGCTGCCGCCACTGCCGACCCCCCCTCTTCGTCATATCGGCGGCCCGCACCGGCCACTGGATAACAGAGCGCCAGCCCCAGTTCACAGATGCTGCTTATTTTTTCACAATCACAGCCACAGGCAGAGCTCCAGAGAGAACCACCACTGTTATACGTGGCGGCACGCCTCCAAACAGATTGACCAGATGTGATTGCCACTTTTGTCGGTTTATTTTACCACGCATGGCATCGTTCGTCCTGCATTTGCGCTCCACGTCTGTTATTTGCGTCCCCTGTTTACTTTTGCGGTTTGCCGTCCTTCCAAAGTCTATTTTAGTAATTACCAAGACCCCATGTTTGTATCTAGCACGATGCCGTGTAAGTGAACTTATCCAGGTACTTTTCTCGTGTTGCTTTATTTTACTACATATATCCACCAATCCACCTGCACTGAACACATGCATATACGTGTGTGTGTGCGTGCTTGTTTGTAAATATCTGCCATTGTTTTTTACTGTGGTTGATCTGCAGAATCAAGCACTCTTCAAATAATAACTTTTTTAACCTATTAGCACTGAACCCCAAATGGCGTTTGATGCATGCTCTCGTACACTGTAATTTTTGAAAACTATGGTCATATAACTAGGATATCCTTTTAAAGTACAAGAAATGGAACTAATTGGTCTCATCAGGAGGTACAAAGCAGCGTATATCAACACGTCCTGTTCGTTAATCAAATTTTCTGAATAATTAGTTCAACCGTCATGGGCGCGTGCCATTATGCCACTTGTTGCCTCATTAGTGGAATGTGCTGTCAGCCTGTAGGCATTAAAGTGGACATAACCCCTCCTCACGTCGCTCAAGTACCCGTCACCCCTAATTTCCAAATGTTAAACAACGTACATAGCTTGGGTAATTTTATAACCCGCCTAATCCTTGACATTTTATGGTGTTCGGGTAGCAACTGCCCGCAGCTTGATGTTATTGCTAGGTCGGTGTCTCATCAAGGCATGCCGCGGAGGTTCTAATTACCTGGAAAGGAACATCCACGTCCTTGTAAACAAAATCTCTTGTTATATTTGTCATTCGGAATGCATTTAAAACAATCGCGCCCAAATGCATAAATCTAGATAGAGGCCTGGTAAAACGGATCCGACTCATTCACAGAAAAAGGATGACGTCGCATCAGATGAGAACCACTTTATTTTGTCGTGTATCGCCCTTGTTATGCGTCATTATGACATCACCATTCGTTTCATTAAAATGGTGCCTAAAATTACGCAAATATCGAAACCCCTCGAGTAAAACTTCGTTATGGTCTTCCCAAAACTGAGTTGAATTTCCACACAGAAAACCTTTCTGGTGCAGATGAATCTGGGGCTACGATGTAGCCTGTCGATTGACAAACTGCAGCCATCAGGCCAACACAGGCCCTCTATTCACAAAAGCATCAGCAAATCAGCCTTGTTTGGAGGTCCTGAATTCTGCGGTCCCCATTGGTCATAGTAGGTACAGTAGACATTCTCAGGTGTGAATCGTGCCATGTAAAGCGGACCGCATGAAATCGGCGTAGTCTGCAAAGCCGGTCCCTCGTATATTTCTTGAGCAAAACAAGGCAAAACCTGCACATATTAGACCGCACACAGTTGCATCACATAAATAAACGGAAATGGGCAACAACACCTAGATATGGTCATTTTAGGTTTTATGTGCTTAGGCGTAAAATCATACCTCGAGTGGGCGGGATTCACGAATCTCCCTTGGGATTTCGAGATCAGACAATCGATTCGATCAATTTCTGAAAATAGATTGGAGGCGTGCGAAATCAACCGGTGTGTATTACTCAATACGATGGTGTGAGCACACTGCGGTACTGCGATAACTACAGTCCAAGGTTTGACCTGGGAGACGACTAAATCCTTACAGTCATCAACTGTGATTTCATTGCACTACGCTCAGCTGGGCTTAGTAAAAGTAAACACCGATCTCGAGTGTACGACATCTCGTGTGGATGTAATTTTCACACCTCTAGTCATTTACTCCTCTACTATGCGTAACTCAAATGAGATGCTTTTGGGTGATAGGACTGCTTTCGTCGAAATCACGTGATCTGCATCGTCCTAGA